GAATATACAAAGTACTGAAATTTCAAGTCATTTGAAATAACTCCTTTGTGTGTGGTTATGCCACCAACTTATGCAGGGTTAAATTCACTTGTTTTGCTTTTGATTTTTTAGAGATTGATTTTTTCCATTTTGATTTAAATTTGGTTTATAATTTTGTACAACATTTATACAATTCCCATTCCAATGATCTAGTGCTGTGCAGCAAACTGTCCCAAAACTAAATGGTTTAACACAACCATTTTATTCTGCTCATGATTTTGTGGGTCAGAATTTGCAAAGGGCCCAGCTGGATGGTTTGCTTGTGGTCCTCAGGGCAGCTGAGGCGGGAGGTTCTGCTTCCAAGCCAGCTCTCCACCCAGCATCTGGTGCCTTGGTGCCCCTTGACCTCTGTCTCCCCACGTGGTGTCTTTGCCCTTAACATGGAGTTTTAACAGCCAGGTGTATTTATAACGTTCACCATGGGATTTAGTCTGCACAAGGCTGCGTAAGAGCGGCCCGAGCATGTTGTGTTGCACTGTTGGGAAGAGAAGCTCGGTAGAGGATCTCAAACTATCCTACGCCTCACAGCGCCCATCTCAGTGAAAGGTAATACAGGCTCTAGACAGAGGACTAGGAGGGAGAGACAAAGGGAGAAACAGAGGCGCTGCCCGCTCTCCCTGCCCTGAGTAGCTGAAGCGGTACTGAGGATGTAAGTCTGTCTAGCTGGTAGCACTTGCTTTAAAATGCTTGAGGCAAAGGGTTAGCAAACAGCATTTCCGCCGAGACTTGAGGTGGTGATGTTCCTCCGCGTTGCTTATACTCAGCGCAAGTGAGAATCCCGCGTGGAGCTCGTTACACCTGCAGACTCCTGGGCTCCGTGTAGGGATTCTGACGCCGCAGGTCTAGGGTGAGGGGCAGATGTCTGTGTGTCTCCCATGCTCCCAGAGGGTCTCACTTGAGGTAAATAGCACCTACTCTGAACGGGAGTTCACAGAATTCCGTCCTCAGCCCTTGGTGTTTTGTGAGTGCCTTTGGGACCTACTTAATAGGGTGACATTTCTTCCTCACAGAAAATCGAATTCTTGATTGGATTACATTTCTCTCAAGTTCTCTTTCCCCCTCTGCTATTGTGCCCCCTCTTAGGGCAATCAGTAAGAATGCCATTAGCTCTCTAATGCAAGCTAAGTATATTAAATCAATCTGTCTCCTGTTCACGAGGTTGACCTGAGTAGCCTGCAGGGTTTCCTTTGGATTCCGGCTTTATCCACAAAGGCTCCATTCATCACCAGCAGCACATTCACGGCCAGGAGCTTAAGGAGAATCTAATGACCCATGTGGACAGCTGCCCTCTTCTCTGGGCAGGGCCCAGGGCCTAAATTGACCGCAGGGCCTAAAGCTCCCAGGAAGAATTAAACCTACTCACACCATCCTGTGGTACAGGGTCACCCAGCATAGGTCCTGGCAAAAGGAGAAGCCCAAAGACAGCCCATCGATTGGACAGTCAGTGCAGTCAGGGCCGTATGGTGGTGCGGACACTGAAAGCTGCAAGGATATGGGGACGGCAGGCACTCACCACCACCTGACGTTATAGTCTGGGGAATTTGTGTGTGTGTGTGTGTGTTCTGCCCAGTCATCATCTCGTTCGTCTCCTTTTCAGACAAGGCCAACTGCGGCCCAGGAAGGTGACTTGGCTGAGGCCACATAGCTGGTCAGGGCACTTCCAGGCCCAGAACCAGACTCCTGATACAACATCAAAATGTCCTCCCCACCCTCTCACCCTTGCATCATCCACTCTTTTTTGTGTGTGTGTTTGAATATGTTTATTTAATTTTTATACAATTTTAAAGGTTACTTTCCATTTACAGTCACTACAAAATAGTGGCTATATTCCCCGTGTTGTACAATATATCCCTGAGCCCGTCTTACACCCAAAAGTTTGTGCCTCCCCTTCCCCCACCCCTGTACCGCCCCTCCCACCCCTCTCCCCACTGGTAACCACTAGTTTGTTCTCTGTATCTGTGAGCCTGCTTCTCTTTTGTTATATTCACTAGTTTGTTGTATTTTTTAGATTCCACATGTAAGTGATGTCATACATATTTATCTTTCTCTGTCTCACTTATTGCACTTAGCATGAGGCCTTTGAAATCCATCCATGCTGCTGCAAATGGCAAATTTTCGCTCTTTTTTGGCTGAGTGGTATCTGCATCATCCCACTCTTCAAGGATGCTGCATCCTTGCAACCTCTCCAGTTTCCATCTCCTCAGAATCCAACCTTTTCTATCTCTACACATATACATGTTTGCATCAAAAAGTGGGAATTCCAATAATCCTCCAGTGACATTAGCGTAACTAATAGGTAAGAATGGAGCTGGGGTGAGGGCAGGAATGGAAAAAAAGCACCCCGACCAGCAGTAGGGCAAACTTCCTATTAGTGGCAATGGGTAGTGCTTTCCCTACCATCTTGTCCCCATGTTACAGTGGGAGAGGCATCCCCAGCCTCCCCGCCAGGCCCAGGGAGCCCCAGCTCACAGGCTTCCTTCTCCATCTGTGTCACAGCCTTCAAGGCAGCGGCCCTGATCCAGAGATGGTACCGGCGCTACGTGGCCCGCCTGGAGATGAGGCGTCACTGCACCTGGAGCATCTTCCAGTCCATAGAGTATGCTGGGCAGCAAGACCAGGTCAAGGTATGGTGCAATGTGGGATGGGCCACCTCCAGCTCTGCCTTCCATCCCCCAGGCAGCAAGGCCTAGATGCCCAGGAGGTGCAGCTGATCTGGACCACTGTTGGGTTCTCTTTTCATTCGTCTGTAAAGCCATGTCTTCTTGGGTTCTTCTGCAGCTCCACAATTTCTTCAGCTACCTAGTGGACCACTTCACCCCCAGCAGTCACAACGAGAGTGAGTATGAACCGCCCCCGGCACATCATCCTGTCTCAGGATCAAAGGTGGATGCACACGATGTGAAAATGTGAATCCAGCGACTGAGCCAGGGAATGAGCAAGGAGGCTGACAAACAAATGGTTCTCCCAGAAGGACACCTGGAGACGAGAGTTGGAGTGCAAGGAGTTTACTTGTTAAATACAAGAAACACTGGTGGGATGAAGAGGGAGAAGGGAAGGGGTTCAAGAAAAGGGAGGCAGTCAATGAAGGGTGGGTTACTAAACCTGCAACCCACTGTGCTTGGGAAATAGTGCAGAACACGACCTAGGAGGTGTCCCACCTAAAGGCAGAAGGAACTGGGGTCTTTATATGTCAACTCCTGAGAGTCAGCGTAGGAGGCTGCTGGGAGCGGCAGATGGGGAGGGTTGTTAACTCCGTACTTTCCTGGCCCTCCAAGCAGGGCTCTCTGCAGAGCCAGAGAAAAAGCCCTCAGGCAGAGATGCAGGGGCAGACATTTGGAAATTAACTGCCTGAACAGCACTGAAAGTCTGAGGCATCTGCCAAGACAGGTGCACTTGCCTGTGAACTCTTTTTCCACCACGGTTTTCCCTTTCCTCCTGCTTACAAACCTACGCCCCTAAATTTCTGAACTTTCTAAGTCAATGAATAGAACTGACATCATAAGATAACCACTTCCCCACCCATCCTACTTTGTCATCACTTTGCCGCTTCCTTTCTCCTCTCCTGTGTTGGAGCCGATGCCAGACTGGCCAGGTCCCACTTCAAGCACAGTCCAGGGAACGGATTCTGTATTGCCCGTGACTGCAGGTCTGATCACAAGCCGGCCCACCCTTTCCATCCTGACTAGGGGACTTCCTGAACCGCATGTTCACCGAGGAGAGATCTCCGCAGGACTCCGAGATGGAGAAGAGCAGTGACTATGAGTCCATCGAGGTACCGGACAGTTACACGGGGCCTCGCCTGTCCTTCCCGCTCCTTCCCGACCACGCAACTGCCCTGGTGGAAGCTTTCAGACTGAAACAAGTAAGCTCCCCCCGGGGGACCCGGATCCCCACCAATTCCACGTAACAGGAGGAGAGCAGACTCGAAGCAGAAGAAATGGCCCTGAGGGTAGGATGTTTGTGTCACGGGTCCATTAGAGAGATTCCACTTGCCCTTTTCTTAGCCGGGAACTTGTGGTTGATCAGTCAGTTTTTATGTGTTGAAAGCCCATCCTCCTAACATGTAATCACTTTGTTCATTTATCCCGCAGGTGATTACTGAGTGCGGCTGTGTGCAGGCACTGCTCTAGGCACTGGGGATATAGTGGTGACCAAGACAGACACAATCTCTGCCCTCATGGGGCTGACATTCTAGGGCGGAGAAGGGCCATAAATAGTAACAAATAAGTAAATTACATAATATATTAGGTGATAAGAACTATGTCGGAGCATAAGCTCGGTTCTAGGTGGCAGAGATAGGTGCCAGTTTTACAAGTGGAAGGCGTCACTGAAAAGGTGATTTCTGAGCAGAGGTCGAAGGTGGTGAGGGCGTGTGCTGTGTGGGCGTCTGGGGAAAGCCTTCCAGGCAGAGGGAACAAATGGAAAGGTCCTGAGGCAGGAAGGACCTTGCCTGGACCACTCAGAAACAGCAAAAAGGTCCTTGTGGCTGGAGAGGAGGGAGCCAGGGGACAGCTCTTAGGAGCTGGAGGCAGAGAGATGGGTAGGGTGGACTTCCATTCTTCTGAAAGTGATGGGGAGACATTGAGCACAGAAATGATATAATCCAGCTTGCTTTTTAAAATAATCATTCTGTTTGCTGAATAGAGTGTAGGGAACAGAGGCTGAATGAGGCAGGGAGGCCAGTTAAGGGACTACTGCCATAGTCCAGGCAAAAAATGGTAGTGGCTTAAAACCCTGGTGGTAGGGGTGGAGGTGGTGAGAAGTGGTCAGACTCTGGCTTTATGCCAGATTTCAGTCCTTCCCCATGTTCATATGAAGATAATTCACTGCGGGAGGAGTTGGGATGGCTTTCCCAGTAACGTCAGGATGACTCATGCCGTCAACATACACACACTTATTCATACTTGGCTGAGACAGTCATGTGTTTCTCCAGAGCTGAAGGCATGGAAGGGTTACACAGCACAGACGGGATCAAGGATATCAGTTCGGTATTTGGGGGACGATGAAAAGCACAAACAAGGCAGAAGATGGTGAAAAAGGATCTATGCATAGGGTCCCAGGAGCAGTTGACTAGGCTCACTTTTGGGGTCCAGGGTCATTGAGCAGTAAAGGTGAGGCCCGTCTTCCCTCACGATGCATGTTACTTTGCACCCTCCTTCCTCGTCCTCCTTGTAGAGGCTGCATGCTCGCTACGTCCTGAATCTTTTGCATGAAGCCAGGAGACATCTGGTACAACTGCCGAACATCAGCCGGCTCTCCACCTGCTACAGCGAGGAGATCACAGTGTGTGGTAAGAGCCAGTCAGAGATGGCTCTCCGTGCTAGACACGAACCAGAAAACTGCCTGTGATGGGGGAGTGGGCCTGACAGCCACGTGGGCAGGCCAGGTTCATATCTCCACATCGATTACATTTACATGTTTACTCCACAGTTATTGAAAGGAGAGGTGGCCTGTGGGACCAGACCTGTGGGGTGAGATGACCCAGCCTCCTCCTTACTTTCCAAAGAGATGCAGATTTGACCCCAAACTCATGCTCTCCATTCAGAACAAAATCTCAGCAAATAACCAGACCATCCCTTGTTAGAAGACAATTTATTTATTGTATTCGAACAGGCCTGAATGCCTAGCACATTATTCTTTCCATCCACGTGTATTTTTCTTCCAGAAAGAAATCCTGTGAATGTCAGTCTTCTCTATCTCCTTGTGTTTTCAGTGACATTTGAATACCCGTTATAGGCCGACACCCCACAGTGGAACTCAGGGGAGACTGTAATGCACCAGGGACTGTAAACCAGCACTTCTAAGGCCACATGCAGCCTGGAAATATGTCTTATCTGCCTGAAAATGTTCTTAAATTTCTAAAGTTAACTTCCAACATTGGAAAATGGGAGATGTCATACTAAAATCCAGATTTCCAAATTCTTGAAAAATCTTGTAACTCTGGCCCTTAAGTGAGTAGCAGCTTCCTACTTTAGATGAGGCAAGACTCTCTCCAGTTCTCATCCTGGTTTGCAGCCCTGCGCTATTTGGTCCCATCTTTGCTTCAGTCAAAATATAGGTCATTGTCGGGGGGAGGGTATAGCTCAGTGGTACAGTGAGTGCTTAGCATGCAGGAAGTCCTGGGTTCAATCCCGAGTACCTCCATTTAAAAAATTGTCGCCACCCCCCATAAAGGTCATTTACTGTTTATGATGGTCACACAGAAGAAATATTGTGCTTTCTGTTTTCAACATTAACTGTCCCATCAATAAGGGAAGTTACTATTTATCCCCATCTTACATGTGGGAAAACTAGTAACCGTAAGTTTGTCAGGTTTTCCTGGATATTTTCCTTCTAATTTAAATTGAGATATAATTGCCATAACCTTGTAATAGTTTTTGACACACACTGGGTATTTTCCTTTTTATAGTAAAAACAAGAAACTGGTGAGGACCAGCCAAAACTGACATTTTTTTCTGTCTTTGTTAGGAGATTTACATGGCCAGTTGGATGACTTAATATTTATATTTTATAAGGTATGAATGCTCAGATTAAGTTCCTGTCTTGCTCTGAGGCTTACTTCAGAAGTTCAAATATAGTAGCTAGTAAACAAACGCTTAAGTATTACTGGGATTTCAAAATATTTTAATATTTGCTACTATGTAGAAATGCATAATGTAAAATCCATCATTGCATTATATTCTAGTGTATTTTTGTAAACTGTTTTAAAAATACAAAATCTCAAGTTAAAGAGAATCATTATTTGGGAAAAAGAAAATTCATAACTAAGTAAACAATTTCCTTTATTACCAAAGCAACTGAGAATTATTTTCATGTTTATTTTTAATTATCAAGTACAGAGTATATAACAAGGCATATATTCTATAAATGTAGTATTACTTTGTATCTATACACACGCGCGCGCACACACACACACACACACACACTGCACTTCTGACGTATTGTCTTATTTAATCCTGAGAAATCTATGGCCACTTGTTTTTAGTGCTAGCTAAAGAGAGAGTGGCCAGAACTTAAAACTAGCATTGGAATTACAAGATCAGTGTCCTTTGCACATACCAAATGGCAACACCACGGCTTTGGATAAAGCAGCTATTTTGGTGAGCATGTCATACCCTCAGCCTGGCTAGAAAGTAATTACGAGACCAATAGAAAATATTTCCATCTCTTACTGACATTTCATGTTTGGAAGAGAGACAGACAGCACAGAACTGGCTTTTAGATCTGATGTGACTGTCAGATGCTCATTGGCTTGACTTGATTTCCTGTTTCCTTTCTTCCGCTGCCTCTTCTTGGACCTGTCTCCTTGTTGGGAAGAATGGTCTCCCATCACCAGAGCGGGCCTATGTGTTCAATGGTGACTTTGTGGATCGAGGGAAGGATTCCATAGAGATCCTGATGATTCTCTTTGCCTTCATGTTGGTTTACCCAAAAGAATTCCATCTTAACCGAGGAAACCATGAGGACCATATGGTGAACTTACGGTACAAACCCAAACAGGCTTGGGGATTTACTTTTTGTGATTGTAAACAGTTATTTCACCAGAGCTTATTTGGTAGATGCCTTTTTAAAGCAGTCTTCCAATTTTATAAAGTGGAATGTACAATATATACCATTTTGAAAGATTTTTTTTATAATTTATACATTCTCCTACTATTTTAATGATTAAATTTGTTTTCACATATCCATATACTTTATTATGGAAACAATAATATAGAACACTATAGAAAAAGTAGAAAATACAGATAAGCAAAAGAAAATTAAAATATCCCATAACTTCTCTACACAGAGAAAATGTTACAACTGTAAACATTTTGGCAACTATTTCTCAGTCTCTTTTCTATATACGTGAGTAGATGCATATTGAACATGCATTTTTTATAAAAATGCAATTGTGCTGTAACTATTGTCACAAAATATCAATTCTTCCTTCTAACTGTAGATACGGCTTCACCAAGGAAGTGATGCAAAAATATAAGGTACATTGCCTTTAAAAACAAAAGTTTCTTAGTTCAGATAAGTTGAGTGAATTACTTGACACTTAATAATACTTTGTTGATATCATTTTCAGATACATGGCAAGAAAATACTTAAAATACTACAAGATGTGTTCTGTTTGCTTCCGCTGGCCACTCTGGTTGATGAGAAAGTCCTGATTCTTCATGGTGGAGTGTCAGACACGACTGACTTGGAGCTCTTGGCCAAACTAGACAGGCACAAGGTACTGACTGAGTGCTGAAATAGAGCGGATTTCACCATAATGCCCAGCATCACTGCCAGCATAAAATAAATGTCATCCCGACTCCATGCTGACTCCAGTTGACCAATAAGGGATGTTAAGAGAATCCGTTAAATCATTGGAAGGAGAAAGCTTGGGACTCTACAGCTGGAGCAAGTGTGCTGTGATCAGTTAGTGTTTGCCATGGACATGACAGTGGGGAGTGGCAGCTGGTGCCATCTGTTGGCCACCCTTGATACGGGCAAGTCTAATCACTGCCACCTGACGTGCCTCCAGTTCCTAAATAATTCACATCTTCAGTTAAACTCAAATGTGTATTGAGTTTATCTGCCTCATGCATGGAGGATGCTATTGGCAGATACAAAGATGAGATCACTGCAGTTAAACTCAACAACTATGTTTTAAGTGCTTACCAGGTGCAAGGAAAGTGCTAGCTGAGATACTAAAATACCCAGAGATGGTGCTTGCCCTAAACAAACGTGCAATAACCAGCAAGGGGCGGGGGAGAGTGAAAGCCAGAATATGTGGTAGCCCCATACTGATAGGTCTCTACTAAGAGGTCTCTATTTTCTGTCTCATTTTGGAGATGGGAAACTAGAAAGCAAAGATTTCTATTTTCTTCTCATCACGGGCTCTCACACTTGAATGGTATCTTACAGCCTCCTCTAACTGCCCATCCGCACAGGAATCCCAGCAGTTAGCCTGAGCAATTCCAAAGACAGAACTCATTACACAAGCCAGGCTACTTTGGGCAACTCTAATTGACATAAAATTCTAAGCTATCTGAGACATAAGTGAAAGAGTATGGCTTTAGAGTCTAACAGACCTGGGTTTGAATCTTGGAACATGTACTTCTTGGCTGGTAAAGCAGCTTTGCTTTACTAGGTTGTCCAGGGCCAAGGCTCCTTAAGTCTTGTTACTCTGCCATCCTTAGGGTGCCTGTCATTCCCATGCCCTCATCTGCACAGCTCAAAGTGGCTTGCCACCACAGCTGTGTTCCAAGCAATATGATAGAGGAAGGGAAGGGAGAAAGACTATTCCTGCCCTTTCAAGACACAATGAAGAAGCTGCATGCTTCTCTTCTGCTCTCATCCCGCTGGTCAGACTGTAGTCCATTCCTGTAGGCAGGACGTGGTGGTTCTTAACTCACGTGTGATGGATCCATGGCTTAATTCCCTTCAGCTTCACCAAGGAATGAGTCATGTGTAGCATCTCATGAGGTCTGGCTCAGTGAGGATGCAGCTGGTCTTCTAGATGTTTATTCTTCCAAGATTTCCACAGGACTCGGTCTCTAGGACAGAAGTGGTGCAGGGAACATCTGTGGGAAACATTAAGTTGCTAGAAGCAAACTGATGTATAGCACAGTGGCTTCTAGTGATTCTACATACCTGACAGTATCTAAGTTCCTTAATTTGAGTTCCTTCTGGATCTCAAACCATGTCTGGAACATAGGAAGTCTCTCTCACACAATGTTTCATAGGGGCGCAATTGGAGTTTGCTTTTAGGGGTTTGCTACCTTCACTCAAAGCCAGGCAACTGATGAGGCTTC